TATTTGAGGAAGTTCACGGGAGAAGTTCCCGACATAATTCCAATTTGATAGTTAAGGATGGATGAGAATAAGAGGCTAATCGAAGAGCCCGAGGCAATTGTTGACCGTAAGACGAAGAAGTTGCGACGCAAGATGGTCGACTTAGTGCTTGTGCGATGGGAACATTCGAATGGGCCAAATCTCACCTGGGAAATGGAGAGTGACATGATGATTCACTATCTGCATTTGTTTGCTGATACATGATTCCGAGGACGGAATCATCCTAAGGGGGATAGAAATTGTAACGCCCGTGTTTCTGGGCTAAGCATTAATGATGATGTAATAGTCTAGGTCAACAATTGTAACTTGTTTTAAAGTAATAAAGATGAATTACTTGAATATTATGTGAATTATGTGCTTTTGTGTGCTTATTACTTGTTTATAATAATATAATATATAAAGGATAAAAATAAGCGTAAAAAATAAAATGTTAGATAAACCCGATATCTATGAAGAAAGTTGTGGTGGTCGTGACAAGGATTCCGGAGATATAAAGAATGCCGAATACCGAGTTATAACGAAGAAGTTATGACGTGTCGAAGTTTCGCGACAAAACCGGCATGACACCGGGAATCGTAATAAGTAAGTTTACGATAAAGTACTTTTAGCCTTAGGGGTCTAAAGGAAAGTTGTAGGTACGTCTCCACCTAGGCATGGATATAAAGAACGTCAAAAACGGAACTCGTATGCAAAAGTTATGACCTTCCGAAGATACACCTGTCTGAGATCATGATACATGTCAGAAACACTAATCTGACTGGACTCACGACATTAGCACAGATGCTCACGACGTCAAATCGTCACTTTTCAAGCCTAGAATGCAGCTGGCAAGTCTACGGAATGATAGGTCAAAAGCTCATGACGTAAGCATGGATTCTCACGACGTGAGGAGTCAAATGGTCACTTTTCAAGCCTAGAATGCAGCTGGCAAGTCTACAGAGTGATAGGTCAAAAGCTCACGACGTGAGAGAGCCCAAAACTGCCTATAAAAAGCAACTTCGACCATTTCATTCCTTACACCTTTCTTTCACTCCCTACTCTCTCTCTAGCCTTCCAAAACACCCTAAAAGCATAGAAAACCTCCCTAGCATTAGAAGAAAGCCCCATAGCGCCCGAAGGCTCCGAGAAAAAAAAAATAGTTTTTCGGTTTGAAACTCTGCCCGTGCGGAGCCTGGTTTTCAAGCAAACTTCCCGGTTTCGTCAAAGAAGATTATTTTAAGAAGCGAAGTGCTGTCCGAATCACTCCTTATCAGGCGAGTGTATAGTCACTTTCATCTTACACATAGATATGAAATATTTTATATAAATTACGTGCTATGTGTATGTATTTATTGTCTGTTTACTTGGGATCTATGCTGGATAAAAGATCCGAACCTCTTTCTTCCAGATCTGAACCTTTTTCCTTCAGATCTAGACTTTTTCCTTTAGATATAAACATTTTCTTCCAGATCTGAACATTCTCGTTCAGATCTAGATTTTTCCTTCGGATCTAAACTTTTTCGTTTTAGATCTAAGACTTTTCTTCAGATCTGAATGGTACATGTATTTTTTTGTCAGATCTAACCCTTTTCTTTCAGAGCTGAACTTTTTCCTTCAGATCTAGACTCTCTCACTGCAGATCTGAACTTTTCAGATCTAAACCTGATATATGGATGATTTATACTTGAGATCTATGTTGTATGAAAGGTAAAAACTTCGTTTTCATATCTGAGTTGTATATGTGTTTTATATCTACAAATGTGTTGGGTAAAACATGGGTAGATGAAATAGTTGGTGTGTGATGAAATAAAATGATGAGAGGCCTTGATGTTGACGTTGATCCAGTTATCTAGCGGAGTATGGATGACGACCATAGACTTTTCTAGGAAGTCCAGTGGAACGCTAGCAGGCTCGCAACCTGTAGGTGTTTGTGAGCGATGTGTTCACCGGTGTACTCCATCCCCTCATGGTTGCCTTACAAACACTTATGGCTGAGGAATCCCCCTTACCAGCAATGTCCATCCCGTTGAAATTCCTTAGGATAGGTCCCTTATGATAGATGCTTTAGGGACGTAAGGTGAGGATAACGGGAACGGGTAATCGGGTTTGATGATTGATGAAAATAATAAACTTATTTATTGTGGGTTGAAAACCCTATATGCTCACAGGCTCCCCAGGCCGACCCACTAAGTTTCTTGTATTACAGGTAGTGGCAAAAGCATAGTTGGATGACTTGACGAGAGATTATGGATTTTAGGCCAGTAGAAAATAAATAGAATGTTGTAAGGTTACGACACGCAAATGTGTGCCGTCTTCTTTATGACAGGGCCTTCCTTGACACGCATTGTGTGTCATAAGAGCGCGTCGTAAATGCGCGTCGTAAATAGACGACGAGCAAAAGTGTGTCGTCTTTCATTATGTCAGGCCTTCCTTGACACACATTTGCGTGCCGTCTGAGTATTTTACGACACGCATTGCACGCCGTAAAAGGCTGTTTTTCTAGTAGTGAAAAATAAATTTATAATAAAAGGGTTGGGTTAGGGACATGAGCTTGGTCTCTTATCATGTTCTTCTTTGATTGTTGGCATGGGATCGGCAACGTGGACCTTGACTTAACCATGCTTTTACAAGAAGATGTGGTGTATACAGTCACCCAGAGCCCAAACAGTAGACTGGTTCCCAAAATACCCATACTAATTATATGTGTTGAATTTTGCATAATGTGCTGGTTAACCACACACACTCCACTAACTACGTATAAAGCATAATGTGCAATTCCATGGATTAGCATACTTTTCATATTTTTCCTAAAATAACTAAAGTGAGAATTTTAAAAGATTGTTCGAGGACTTTTAAATCATTATTCTTATTAATGAGATTATGTCTTATCAAATCCGTTCGGCTAACGACTCTCCACCATAGATGAGAGCGGTGGGTGAGAGTGGACACCATTCAACGACATTTTTGTAGGTCGCTTCCTTATACCCTCTTTATAGCATGACTTCGTGAACGACATTTTTATAGGTCGCTTATTTATACATATAATATATTAAACTTATAATAGTATATATATATATATATATATATATATATATATATATATATATATATATATATATAAGGTGTATTTTAAATCTTTTCTAAAATACTAGGTGTAATTTTAAATTTTGGAAATTATTATAAAGTTAATTTAATTTATAATAAACCAATTATGATTTAATCTTTATCTTTTAATTTACTATTAATTAAATTAACTTAAATCATATGAGGATTAAATAATTATTTACTATTAAACTATTAATCAAATAATTTAAATTTAATCCTAATCCAATCCCTACTAGATTTTCGAAAATAAAGGGTATTGGGATTATCCAATTTTAATTATTCTATTTTAACCAATTAAAACCATAATTATCAAATAAGAAAACCCTAATCAAATATATATTTACTAGTTTATGGTGATATTTTTGTCATTCTAACAGAATAAAATCGGGTATCATTAAAAATTATGTTAGAATTAAAATCCATTTAATTAGAAAAATCAAAAATATCCCTTAAAATGCAAAAATTTTCTTTTTTAAACTTGTATTTCCACATTCATTAATACATCCACACATATATATCATCCACACTATAAGCTAGCCATATATATAAATAAAAATTCATTTGAGACGAACCTAATTTTGTGAGACCGTGAGACATTTTTTTTAATGAAATATTCTAATATTCTAGTATCCGTAAAAATATAATATGTATAATATTCTAACATTATATGTTTTTAGAATATTTTAATGTAATTTGTGTTAACAACAATGTTTTAGAATATTAGAATATTATATATATTATAGTTTTATAACAATAGAATATTATAATAATTCACTAAAAGAAAGTAGTCTCACGGTCTCAAAAGAATATGCTCGTCTCAAATAAACTTAACCCTGCATGTATATATTTGGAAAATGAACCATATGTTTTGATCTAACGGTTGCAAGTATGAGATTTATTGCCACAAAGGGGAGCAGATCTTGATCGAAACGTAATGCCATATGTTAGTCATGTAAATTGTAACATGTGGAGAAAAGCACCATATGCCAGCACTTGCCAACCATTATCACCATGTGAAGAAGAACTTGCCTAATTCTTAGATTACTCTGCTGTTTAATGGAATGATCCAAACAGGTTCCCTCCTGCCTAATTCCAGTATATGGTATTTTTCCCCACAATCTTATCTCTTTTCTTTATTATGCCCATGTTTTGAAAATGCGTAAAATGATGAATTCATTAGTTCAGCACATGTTGATTTTTAAACGTACGCTACATGTTGCATGTGTAGTGTTAAGTTGTAATCAACTTCTAACCTATTTTCAAGCAGTGAATCAAAAGGCTTTAAAACAACAATATCATCACGTGAATGACAGATACTTTTGTATGAAATCTTCCATGCCTAATTAACTCTAAATTAAATCTTAACTATTCAACATCATGTTCACATTCCAGATTAACTATATATTCTTACCAAAATCATGAAAGATTCTTCACATGTGTTCAGTAGGATGACCAGGATAATCGATATCCAAACACGTCTCTTTCAGTTGTAATTTAATTACGTGAGTCACCGTCCACACAACTGTTTGATGATTTACAAGCACTTTTTGGAAAGAGTATTATCAAATATGGAAATCTAGACCTTGATAACTTTCTTACCATACATGTTTTTGTTGCTACTCACGAGTTGTCATGTGTTTCTTTACTAATTTGTAATAATTGTAGGTAAACGTATTTTTCAAGTTCAGTAATTGAAGCAATAGCCATGTGACACGCTCTTTATATTGTGATCTACTTAAGGCCTATTCTTCATCGACTTTAGGCATCACTTCGAGCTCATTTTTGAGAGAACTATAGAAACAAAGGAAGCGAGAGATTCTTTGGCTGGTTTCTCGTTGTGTATAATTATCGAACTCTTTTCTAGTTGGTGTAAATCAATGGCCTCGGAAATTCTATGCAAGTCGCCAAAGGTGTCTTCGTCAGATAATTTTGATGAAGACCTACTGGAAGACATGGAATTAGATGAAGAGCTACTTAGGGAGTTACTAGAGGAAATCAACGATGATAATGTCGACCAGATGTCAATGATGGAAACTGTGCTAAACGATATGCCACCCTCCAAAGAGGAGAATGGTGGCTTCTTTCATGTCCTTCCAGATAATGAGTCCCAACTACTGTTTTATCAGGACAAGCAGATACAAGATTTTGATTATTGGATTACCCAACAAATTGCAGAAATGCCTGGCTCATTTCCAGGGCTGTGGTTCGAAAACGAGATGATGCCGTTCTGGAACATGGAGAATAGGATCGAAGAGATGATGGTTGATGACATTGTCTATGTCGAGTTGTGGGAAGACTAGAAGTCGTTAGGATCAAAGGGTTGTTAGCTCTCACCATCGAAACGTTCATTGGCTACAACTAAAATTTGATGTAAGGTATTGGTTCACGTTGATTTCATAAACTCGGCAGGAAAAAGAAAAAGTAGAATTGACGATTGACCTAGGCTTTACAAGCATTACAGAAATTGTTACGTACAGTGTTTTTATTATTATTATGACAAAATATAACTTTTTCAATACTATTTGATTACTTCGTTTTTACATATTTCGTTGGGGGTTTGCGGTGATGAGATTTGTATGTCGGGTTTTGGAAGCCCGTTGTTGGCTTGACTTTTATTTTCTTTTATTTGGTTAACCTGTAAGTGAAAATATAACTTTTCCATGCATAATGTTAATTAATTAAATTAACTTCGCTAATAAACTATTTTTGTTTAACTAGTGTTGGCCTTGCATTAATGCCATCTCTAGTGTGTCTCTTGTCAAAAAGCTAATCTTTGTGCCTGGTGATGAACCAAAAGTTCATCTTTCTGCACTCGGGATGAATGGAAAACAGTAAATCACTTTATCAATGCCACAGTCCAATGGAGTCACTCGTGTTAATGCAGCAACCAAGATTTACCACATATTTTATAAACAAAATACACACAATATTATACATCAAAACCCATTGGGTTAGTTAAGTATCTATTTACAAACACAAGTAAATATAAACAATTCCTACCATAACTGCACCCAAGATCTATCCGGTTTGACAAAGTGTTATACAAAAAAACACAAACTTTCATTTAAAATAACTCCTATTTCTTCATGATTGCCTTTCCCTTGCTTTGGTTTTCATTTCTTGCTTAACACAAACCATACTCACAAAAATAAGCACAAGCTTATTGAATAATTTAATTATAACATTTAACAAAGATCACATTCACCATTTTGAAAAGTTTATATTATATAACATAATGCTAACCTATAAATCATTAGGAGGCTTATGATTTGTTTAAAACTTGTCATAAAAACTCATATATTGTTCCACAAACACATATACCCTTCTCTTGGTATACTCTAAACATAATAGACTCATACTCTTTACAAGTCTTGTTGCAATACATATACCAATATCTTCATAAAAATCACTTTCTAACAACATGAATATGATTATATAAATCTAAATCATACAACACAATCCATAATGTGAGTTAAAGTTAAATGACTCACCATGACTAGGTTGATAAGAACTTGTTCCAACTCTTTGTGATCCCGTCTGAACTCTTACTTCAACAGAACCTAGTCAATAAGACAACTTTTAAATATTATGACTCATTCATAATCAATAACACCACAACATAACTCCATAATACTCCATTAGGAGTGATACAATTTTCAAACACTCAATTTATACATATAATTCAAATTCATCATCTAACTATCTTTATTAGACATGTAATAAACTCAATTCATCAAATTCATCAATTTAAATTTTTAGGGTTCATAACAATTCATCCCCAAATTCACAAAATTGATTGTTGTTATCACTCTATACACTTAGAATCATGTAATTATCACTTCTAATTAATGTTATATATATATATATATATATATATATATATATATATATATATATATATATATATATATACATTGTAATTTCACTTCAGAAATCATATAATATAATTAGGGTTACAAAACCCCAATTCGCAAATCATACATATGATAAACACATAGAACTTACTTTGATTCAAGAAGTAATGAGTTATACTTTTCCAACCTTTTCTTAATCTCCTCTTAATTCTTCTTAAAACTCAATAGAAAATCGCCCTCTTTTGACTTTTTGCTGCTTTAGAACGAACGAGAGTAATGGATGGGGAACAAAAGAACTTCCATTCTTTTTATCAGATTTTTCGCAAAGCAGCATCACCACGTCGTGGTGATACTCTTACCATGCCATTGTGTCATTTGCTTGCCATGTCGTTGTTTTCCCACTACTTATGGCACTTTTGTTCCGTCACTAAAAGTTTTGTCACAAAAGAAAATAGCATTCTACTTTCTACCACTCTGTGGTCTGTCCTTCACCACGTCGTGGTAATTCAAAGTACATTAACCTCATTATTCATTTTACTTCAACCAGATTACCGCTTCAAGTCCACGTCGTTGTATTACTCTTACCACATTGTGGTTACTGTAATTTGTAGGTTTCAAAATGTATAGTGTGAAGTCGAAATAGAACTAAGTCTGTTAGGGTGCAAAATCGTGTATTTTGAAGTGTATGAATTTGTAAGGCATATCGAAGTCGAACTGTAATGTTTAGTGATTACACTTTTTGCACGTCTGTAACAATCTATAAATAGAGTAGGTATAAGGGTAGAGAGTGAGAAAGAGATAATCATTATATATATGAACCTAACCCATTTTGGTTCTTAAGAGAAGAAATGAAGAATGACAGATGTGACAGCATTCTCACATTTTTTTTCACTAGAAAAACTAGTCACAAAAACTAGCTCACTACTCTCTCATATACTTGGAATAATAATTTGGTAATTTGCCACAAGCCATACCTTTAAACAAAAACATATAAGAGAAGTAAGGAGAATGTCCTTATGGAAGATTTGGCAAGCAACAATCATCCTCACATATCCCCTAGGGGGTCCTTGGCCCCATGGACAAAAGGAAGGGAAGAAAAAGACAAAAAGCTTCTTCCATTTATATAAAAAAGCATCCTAAATTTTTTTTATAAGAACTAAGCTACTTTAGTTTATATAAAAACTAATGATTTACATAAAACATTCCCAGATTATTTACATGATACTTTTGATAGAAAAAAATTATTTTCATAAAATAAATATTTTCCAATTAAAAAAAAAGAATATATAATATTTATAAAGAACAAATCCGTATTAATAATATATATAAATAATAAGTATTTATCAAACATCAAATTCTTATAAATAATATATGATCATCAAGTTGTTGTCAGTTTGAAACTTCTAAGATTATATATTATCTAGCAATATCTTTTTATAGTGACTCTTGGGCATACAAGATCTTTCAATTTATTATATGATTAATAAATTATTTAGAAATAGTTTAGAATTAATTTCGTTAATTAGAATTATTTGGAAATTAAGAATGGATTAATTAGAATTAATTAAATATGTAAGGGTTAAATTATAATTGTTCATAATTGGGTAAGGAAGACAATTCTAGAACCTCCCTAAGGGGTGGACGGGTTCTAGGGGATCCAGAAGGGTACTGAAAGCCTCCTAGTAACTAATAAGGATAACGGCTTTGAATATATTAAATCTTATTATTTAATTACTCAAGTTAGGATTTATCATGGATATAGATCAGCTATATATAGGGACCTTTGGCTAGAAAATTCAAAACCCTAGCATTCTTAAGCAAGAATCAGATTTTCTCTCCTCCATCCTCTTTCCTGTTTTGTTCCTAGAGTTTCTAGGGTATTGGGTGCGATGTATTAGAGGCATCCACAGTATTGGTGCTTTATTTCTAAGGAAGAATTGAAGATCAAGGTTTGCTATATTCAATTTTTTTAAAAGGTATGTATTTCAATATATTTCATTTCCGTAATTGGTAGATTAAATAGTATTTTCATAGTATATTGCTATAACGAGAAAATATAATAGATCTCTAGGTTGCATCTGCCCATAAATTGTTTTTTGTTTTTCGTTGTGTAGATCTATTGTTTTATAACCTAGAAAAACTATAAGTTGTATTAGAGCCTAGGATTTTCTATTATACGTGCAATGGTGAAAATTTGGAAAAAAAACTTAAAAGAGAATTATTAAACTACTAGTCACGCCACGACGTAGTGCGCTTCCTGCCACGGCGTGGTCGTGCCTCCAGCGGGTTTTCGGGATTTTCTTTCCTTTCTCAAATATTAGGATAATTACTAGACTTAATGGTTATTTTAATTGCTTAAAATATAAACAGTTAAACTAGGTAATTAGATAAAACCTAATCTCAAAAATTAAGGAAAAAAGAAAACGAATTAATATTATTTAATTAAAAGTTTAATTAAGATAAATGTTTAATTCTTAATAGATTTTATAGTATACCCTTACATATATTTATAAGAGTATATAATAGTATATGTAAACGAATAATAATTCGCCAGTCGAATCAATACTAGGCGTCATTCATGAAGTCATATTATAAGAGAAGTATAAGGAAACGACCTATAAAATGATTGTTCAATGTGTGTCCTTTTCACTCGCCGCTTCTTTGTGTGGTGGATTCTTGTTAGTCGAAAGTGTTATGATAGGATGTAAATCTCGTTAAAAGTATAACATAAAGTACTAGAACACAAAAATCTCACTCTAGTTACTTGGAAAAAATATGAACTTGTATGCTAATCCATGAAAATGCACATCACTTCTTTGTAAATTAGTGGAGCTTTCATGGTTAACCGACACACTAACTTGGAACTACAAAGTAGAAATGATGAGACAACTCGATATGATTGTTGATGGAGCGTGTGTGGTTAACCAACACATCATTGTGAGATCATAATGAGAACGAGGGTGGCACGCTGGGTTGCATGGTTATTCACATCTTGTTTGTGATCTTTGGTATCCCAGTTACAAAAGTAAGAGGATAATATGAGATTAAATATGTCATTGATAGTTCAATGAATCTCAAAAGTTCAAGGAGTTTCATTGTGATTGAAATTGGTAACGTGTATTACCTACCTAAAATATATTCTCAATTTGTATATGACATCCCTCTTCTTATTTCGAATTAAAAATATGGGTTAAAATATATTACAGATTGAAATCAACTAACTAAAAATTTCTCTTATATAGACGTCTGTAAATGGTGATCTTCCTCTTCCTCCTCCCACAGCTCAAAGTTCAAACTTCACTCTTCTGTCAATTATGTCGAAGGAAAAGCTCACTGGTCCAAACTGCATAGACTGGATGCAGAATCTGAAAAAAAACTCTACGTTATGAGAACAAGGAGCACGTTCTCGATAACCCAATTCCCGAAATTGAAATGGAAACTGTTAC